CAAATGCTCAACTGCTGAGGCGTTATTTAAAAAGGGGCAATCTGTAGTTGCTACATCTATTATTGGACTTATAAATTAATTATATATACCCATTGATTCTTTAAGAATATAACTTATAAATTCCTCATGAACTTAGTTCAACTGTGACACCTGGAAAGAACCCAAAATATAAGCTTGTTTTACTCCAATGTTTGATATCATGGATAGTCAGTCATTGCATCCATAGCTCTATCTATTAATTTGAAAGTAGTTACATTTCTCCAGGCCCATCCTTCAGCTTTTTACCAAAACAGATGTGGGGTGAACTACTTTGTTATTGTTTCAACTGTTGATTGTGCCTTTAAAGCAGTGGTTTTTGACCAGGGGTGTATGTCGTCTGCTGCCAATATAAGCATTTGAGCCAGGGCCACAGCAACACAAGCAATATATTTAGCCATGTTTATTTTAACCTAAATAATCACCAAACAATCTCTGAAAAAAAGATAAACACACGTCTATTCGCTCTTTCATCATGCCGTATGATAGACTGGACTACTGTGATCATCAATTATCAACGAGTGCAGGTGGGTAGTGATTAAAGCATATGGTATGCAGACTCTGCATTTTATTGCTTCAATAATCTGAAGGGAACCATTTTGAACGCGCATGCGTATGCGGGCATGGTGAATGAAGTTGAGGGCATAATTTCATTAATTCAGGTTTAATTTGACAAACGTGGTAAAACCCATTTGTTACACAACTTACAGTAGGGGAAAAAAAGTATTTAGTCAGCCACCAATTGTGCAAGTTCTCCCACTTAAAAAGATGAGAGGCCTGTAATTTTCATCATAGGTACACGTCAACTATGACAGACAAAATGAGGAAAAAAAATCCAGAAAATCACATTGTAGGATTTTTAATGAATTTATTTGCAAATTATGGTGGAAAATAAGTATTTGGTCAATAACAAAAGTTTCTCAATACTTTGTTATATACCCTTTGTTGGCAATGACACAGGTCAAACGTTTTCTGTAAGTCTTCACAAGGTTTTCACACACTGTTGCTGGTATTTTGGCCCATTCCTCCATGCAGATCTCCTCTAGAGCAGTGATGTTTTGGGGCTGTCGCTAGGCAACACGGACTTTCAACTCCCTCCAAAGATTTTCTATGGGGTTGAGATCTGGAGACTGGCTAGGCCACTCCAGGACCTTGAAATGCTTCTTACGAAGCCACTCCTTCGTTGCCCGGGCGGTGTGTTTGGGATCATTGTCATGCTGAAAGACCCAGCCACGTTTCATCTTCAATGCCCTTGCTGATGGAAGGAGGTTTTCACTCAAAATCTCACGATATATGGCCCCATTCATTCTTTCCTTTACACAGATCAGTCGTCCTGGTCCCTTTGCAGAAAAACAGCCCCAAATCATGATGTTTCCACCCCCATGCTTCACAGTAGGTATGGTGTTCTTTGGATGCAACTCAGCATTCTTTGTCCTCCAAACACAACGAGTTGAGTTTTTACCAAAAAGTTCTATTTTGGTTTCATCTGACATTCTCCCAATCCTCTTCTGGATCATCCAAATGCACTCTAGCAAACTTCAGACGGGCCTGGACATGTACTGGCTTAAGCAGGGGGACACGTCTGGCACTGCAGGATTTGAGTCCCTGGCGGCGTAGTGTGTTACTGATGGTAGGCTTTGTTACTTTGGTCCCAGCTCTCTGCAGGTCATTCACTAGGTCCCCCCGTGTGGTTCTGGGATTTTTGCTCACCGTTCTTGTGATCATTTTGACCCCACGGGGTGAGATCTTGTGTGGAGCCCCAGATCGAGGGAGATTATCAGTGGTCTTTTATGTCTTCCATTTCCTAATAATTGCTCCCACAGTTGATTTCTTCAAACCAAGCTGCTTACCTATTGCAGATTCAGTCTTCCCAGCCTGGTGCAGGTCTACAATTTTGTTTCTGGTGTCCTTTGACAGCTCTTTGGTCTTGGCCATAGTGGAGTTTGGAGTGTGACTGTTTGAGGTTGTGGACAGGTGTCTTTTATACTGATAACAAGTTCAAACAGGTGCCATTAATACAGGTAACGAGTGGAGGACAGAGGAGCCTCTTAAAGAAGAAGTTACAGGTCTGTGAGAGCAAAAAATGTTGCTTGTTTGTAGGTGACCAAATACTTATTTTCCACCATAATTTGCAAATAAATTCATTTAAAATCCTACAATGTGATTTTCTGGATTTTTTTTCCTCAATTTGTCTGTCATAGTTGACGTGTACCTATGATGAAAATTACAGGCCTCTCTCATCTTTTTAAGTGGGAGAACTTGCACAATTGGTGGCTGACTAAATACTTTTTTCCCCCACTGTAAACACCGGACAATTGCTCTTTTTAAAGTCTGTTTTTTAGCAACATTAACAGTAACAAGTTACACATGCAGACGGCAATTGGATGATATGATTTGCCTACAGGCCCACGTAGCCTAGCATGGAAGCAAAGACATCACGTCAAATGTCAAATCTTCAGCAAAGGCCAACGCCGAAAGTTATTCTTGTAATTGTTTTAAATCCGATTTGAGGAAAAATTGCATTTTGAATCTCTGCTGTGGTAGACAAAGGGGTTTTTGAGTCCCGGCAGAAACAGGGCCTTACATGTGACATGGGAGGCCAGACATAAAACACAGACCTGCTTTAGAGGGAAATAATTAAGTTGTTTGGTTGCTGCGAGGGCCTCTCTTTGTCTCTGAGCCTCTAGCCAGCATGTTTACTAACAGAAATCGATGCGGCATTACATAATAGGCCTAATTAATGAAGCCTGTGTGCTGCAGCCAAAACATCTACTGCTCCTACTGTCCATGTTGATAGACTAGTATACAGTATGCATCTCCAGTAGTATAAATACACAGACAAACGGACGGACGGACAGAAAGACACCAACAACTGGGCAAGACAAGAGAGAATAGGACTGAAATGGCATTCTAATCAGCTTTAGTTTGAACTCTAAAGCAAAAGCACTTGATTGAAATATCAGATCCAACTCAAAGTCGGACCTGAACAACATTGACATGTTTGAGACGCAATGCAATAAACTTCATGTACCACCTCTTCTTATAACATCCCCTTATAAAAACAAATTGAAAACACTAAACAGTGGAAACGTAAGCTCTTAAGTAACAAATATCCTCATCTTGGGGTCAAATAAACTTTTGAAAGTCCCATATTTCATGTTTGTCGGCCACTCACAACCAGTGCTTATCATTAGCGAGCCAATGTCAAATTCACAACAGCCTTCATCAGGGCTTGTAAAGTACACAGTTAAAAGCATTAGATAACTCAACATCAACACATCCTGGAGCAGACCCTTATTCTCGTCATCCGTTTCATGTCGTCTGCAACGTCTCTGACCCAACACAGGGAATCTGAGACACTAAAAGAAACGACTGTTTGGATTCTTTCGTAACACCTTGGCACCAACAGACCAACGCTTTGTCTGCCTTGCCTTGACCCAGTGCACACAGAGAAGGCATCAAACAATTCCTTGTGAGGGAGAAGGGACGGCTTTGATTTAAATGTCTAACGATGCACTCCCCCAAACTCACCCCTCCTCCAAAAAAGCAAATTAGGTTACTAAAAGCTTTTTCTAGGAAGCAGACTCATCATGTAACAGTTGATTAGTATTTATCTAGTCCAACAGATGTGCCCAGATTGCGCACTGGGCCAGCTTCCCCTTACTCACTGTCTGAAAAAACAAGGTTCCTGATTGGAGCAAACTTTTGGACCTATGTCCTATTTTATGGACATTCCAATGGGAAGACGTGACAACAAATATCACAGCCACTAGTAACTCTCTTATGTAGGGCCCTGTGTTTAAGTTAATCATGTCACATGACCTGTTTTTTAACCTTTATTTTAAGCCTTTCCAGAAATGAGAATTACAACAAAATAACATTTACATTTAGCAGATGCTCTTATCCAGAGCGACAGATGTTTTTTATGAAAGCAATTGTCTGAGGATGGTGCTGGACCCTTTAACATAAAAAGGGGGACAGTTTGATGAAAAAGCCTTAAATAAAAAAGGGTAAAATCCAGGTCATGTGACATGATCAACCAAAACACAGGGCCCTACGTTATAGGGGATATACTGCGTATAAGGCGGCAGGTAGCCTTGTGGTTAAGAACATTGGGCCAGTAACTGAAAGGTTGCTGGTTTGAATCCCAGAGCTGACAAGTTGATTTTTTTCTCTCTATGTGCCCCTGAGCAAGGCACATAATCCCTCATTGCTCCTGCAAATTGCTCTGGATAAGAGCATCTTCTAAAATGAGAAAAAATTACAAATGTCAAAAATATCATATTTCCAGGGAGTCAAATACAGGTCTATCTATTTTCTTGTGTACTCATACAAAGTACTGTTAACTACATATAACAATTAAATTCATAGCTGGGAGATATTATTGAAAGCAAACACCAGGAGTGATGTCATCTATTTGCCCACGTCAGGCCCTTTCATTCAAATCCCAAAGTAAAGAAACCATCCAAGGTATCCACGTGGCCTACTACTGGGCGTTTGCAGAACCTGTTGCAGAGCTCAGGTAGTCATACATATTGTACAATTTAGTAAAGCATTTACAACTTCAAAAAATACTATTAAACCCTGCAATGGTTCATACATTTATAAATTGCCTAATCATGTAGCTTCTGGCTCAGTAGTTTATGGTTTTGAATGGAATCTGATCCTTTGTGTGTAGGATCTGAACATTTCTCAGAACAAACTTGAATACCTCGATTCTCGTTGTTTCCTCCAGGAAGTAATTGCAAATAGTGCTGTGGTTGAATGGCTGAAGCATATGACTCCTCTCCATTGGCAAAAACGTCCATCCACCAGGCCTACTAAACTGGTCTGATTACAGCTTTAAAAATGGACAACTGCTATTTGAGTATAGGCCTACATAACCGCTTTTTCATGGTGACCGTATATTTGGCATCAGCATTAAGACTCCACATTGAACAACTTGACTACAAATAAACGTAGACAACATGTGTAATAGAGTGTCCACTGAATGAGTAAATTCAATCAGTTGGAAAGTCTATGAATAGCAGACCTGATCAATGCATTGAGGTTGTTTCTCAGGGCATAACTAACAAGCTGTAGAGAGACAGAGACAGACAGAGAGACAGACACACATACATACACAGATCAGCGTCAAAGACTATAAAGCATTAATGACAGTGTTTGACGGACGGTCAGTCACCCTTACCTCTGTGTAGTCGAAGTCCGAGAGAGGTGCTATACTTTTGATGTAGTCAATTCTGGACTCGTTCGCTGGGTTGCCTATTGGAACTGGGGGTATTAACGTGCTCATCGCCGAAACTACCGTCTAAAAAGCGGATAAAAACAAAAAACATTAGACATTAAGCTGGATAAATGTGGGATAAGCCAGTCTAATCAGTAAAATGGGATTGCAGGAAACAATCTCATAGGGTGCGACCATATTCTATCATACAAATCTCAGCACATCATCAACTTACCACAATGGCATCCTTCACATTTTTCCGAATATCCAGGACTTTCTGTTTCTTTTCTCTGAGTGGAGAAACAACATATACAATTAACCATTAATTAATACCTGAAAAATGATAATTGGATTCATTAAAGGAATCTTTATACTGCCCTGCAGAAAGGAGAGGTTGTCTCATATCACCACTAATGCAAACCCATAGGCCTAATAGGCTATTTAGTAATAATCACTATGTCAGTAAAGATGTATTCTGCTAAAATTGTATTTGAAAGTTTACTTTTTATGCTATTACATTAGGCTAGCCTATGCTACACCAATTTCAGAGAGATGTGTCTCATTTAATACCAAAGGTGGACGGAAATTAAGCATAGCCTATATTTATCTTGGTCCATTTGCTCAAATAATATCAAATGTATTATTAAAGATATAAATATTGAGGACAGTTTACGATTGGGTATCATCATTCATTTCCTAAAAAACGTATTCAATCCACTACAGTCTATACAGAAGCCTATACTACAGTGCACAATGTAACCAAATCAAACTACAATGTAACCAAGTCTATATGGAATATAGCAGGTTATCATAAGCCATAGAAAGATCCCACTTGGCACACACTGGTTGAATCAACATTGTCTCCATGTCATTTCAATGAAATTACGTTGAGCCAACGTGGAATAGACGTTGAATTGACGTCTGTGCCCAGAGGGATACATTGAGACATACATAGAAAGATACATTGTTTTAGCACCGTTCTAAAATACCACTGCACACTTTACTGTTGTAGAACCGTTTTTTCAGCCCATGAATTCAGTTGAGATTTTTTTTGTTGGGTTGTACATTATAATGCAATAGCAACTGTAAATACAGCGTAACATGTATCTGTCAGTATTTTGACACACAGAATCTCGACCACAAGTAGGCCTAAATCTGCTAATACGTCGTCTTTATCGCTGTGACAGCTATTAGAAATCAGTTGGACATAGCAGGCTTGTTGCCATGCTGTTGTTAAACCATTGGGCCCGATGGACACTGCAGTGCTACAGCGCAAAGAAACGTCTACCCAACGCTTTGTCCTTTTCTTATCTTACATCGAACAAATCAAAATGACAACAATAAAACATATTTCTATACTCAACACTATCAAAATAGAACAGGAATACGTCCAATTTTGCACGTAAATACGTTAAAATAAATGAAATAACGGGTACTTACTCTGCGTTAAAGCCATTGACGTGCAGAATCCGCATCTGCTTGACAATCGTGCTTTTCCCAGACTCTCCGGCCCCTTCGAAATAAAACACAGATGAAGCATGAGGAAATGGAGCCATCGCTATAATATAAGAAGGTACTTGGGTGCCGCATATGCTGATGTTTAAAATCCATGATAATTGTACAATCCATCTGACGATTCAGTCAGCGCTCGCTTGCGAGACCTGTCAACATATGTGGGCTGGGGGCGAATCTGAAAACATACATGATACATATCCGTTATGAAATCCACCTTCTGGACCTTACCCAATAAAAGCAGTCGATGTGTGGCTTTATATGCTTGTCTTTCCTTTTGTAATTGTTTCTCGATTTTTTTATTCGCTTCTCTTTGTGCCTTTTCATCGATGCGTTGATCTTCAGTCTTGCTGTTGCCCAAACACCCCATCTTCCGCTGAGCTCTTCTCGTAAACAGAAAGTATAAAATAACAGCTAATGCAAATCCTACTTTCAATATAAAAGGAGAAGAAATAGGGCGAAAAATCCGTGCGCCACTTCTCCGTCGCTCAGAAAAAAACCTTCCCCGTTACAATTTCGTTTTGAACCCCTTGTCAAACCCAACCCAGTGGATTCAGTCGATTCTAATAAATATGTGCATCATAAATATAACAAAAAGATACATTAACTTCATAAATATGCAAAGAGTGGAGCTGGGCTGAATCTGGAAGCCAGCCAACTGCTCCTCTCTCTCGCTCCTGCTTACCACTCTCTATTTTTCCGGTCTAAAATTCTGTTTGTGTTTTGGTCCCTTTAACTCAGCACTGCCTCTCGCTGTAGCACCAGGAAGTCACACTGCACCGAAAGAGAAACACCTCACAGAGCGCGCGCCACCTTACCACTGTTTGAATACCCTGTTTAAAACAACATTTCTTTATTTCACATGTACAACAAACAAAAAGACAGGCTAAGTTTATCTAATTAAAATGTGCGTCGAAAAGTTTAGCTTCAATAGGCTGTTCAGTGTAAATAATATATAGTAAAATTGTTTCCAAAAACGGGTTTATGTTTGAACCAGACAGACACTTGAATGACGTTTCCCAGACAAAATCATTTCCCTATCCATTTTCCGCGCGTAAATCATTTTACTGGCGCTTGCAAACACGGGTAAATGGAGGTTAACTAGAGCACGCGACCGTAGGCAAGCAGTGCCGCGCACCAGCGGTATAATCACACAAACCATATGGATCATAATACCAAATCAAATAATAACACAGTTACAAACTCTATGCAAAAGAGAATGAAAAAAGTATAGTTTGCTGCTATTCAAATTTCTCTGAAGTTGCCTATTAACCTGACATAGGCCTACTATAGCCTTCTCTATAGCCTTGTAGGTTCTCTTTCATCTGTAGCAATACAAAATGCCACACTAATAATTGTAGAGAATCCAAAGGTGTGAATATAACAGCACCGCAACCTTTGAGAAAAAAGGCACAATGCAAATGCAATGGAATATATGAAAAACGGTTTCATGCGTTTGCATATCAGCATCCATGTCCTAGCAGCACAGTTGGGCAGTGCTCCCATCAACAGCGGAGAGGATATCCATGTAGTGAGCGAGAGCCAAAGACAACCTCACAATATGATAGGATGGAGGAGGTTTCTGGGTCATTTTAAGGTTAGGTGGATGAACAGACAAATACCCTGACAACCAACAAAAGCCATCCTCAAAGTAAAGCATTGTTGGGAAAATTAATCATTACTGAAGTCTTTTCAACCCCCAATAAGATGTAGTAAACTCATTCAAATACAACAGATACACTGACTAAAGTAGTACTTTGTGATCTAGAGGTAGATGCGTTTGACCGTTTCAGTGGCAAACCAGACTAGAAAGGACTAGAATTAATTACATCAATTGAACTATTGATTGATTTCAAAACGTCAAAAAATTTATCAGACCTCATATCAAAACATGGATTATACCAAAAGTAGTGTGAGGCAAACTGGCAACCGTGGGACCATATGAGATGGTTATCTGTCGTGATGTGTCACTGTTTAGAACATTACCAGCCTCCAGAACAATGGAAAGATTTTCCAGTACAAAAAAATATTAAAACAAGATGCAAATGTGATCTTATAGGGTGTGTTGGCCAGTATGTGTCTCCTCTGGATGCAAATTTAGCCCGCTGAGCTTCCTAACTGTTAATGTTGTGTATTGGTTGAGAGTGTTGGCTCTACCTACCTCTAGCCTCCTACAAACCATCCTGATCTCATGAGCTTACGTTCTGTTACAGAATGTAAACTCAGAATGTTTTTAAAGTCAGGAGAAATTATCACCATCAATTTATCTAATTCTCTCTATAGTGTCATTGTAGAGCAGCCCATTGACTATCGTCTTACATTGCCTTTTGTCTCCCTCTTGTGGTTTGGATGAATACTACACACTTCAAAGTGTGTGTGTGCATGCTTGATGACAATATGCATGTACAACCATGGATTGGTCAAGAATACATGTGTCCTTTACTAGAGAGCCATGACTGTATGACTTTCACCCCTCCTCCTTGTACCCTGTTGCCTGGATAAAAATAGCTTGGGTATGAGGAGTTAGTAAATAGCTCAGGTCATACCTTAGGCTGGAAAACTGGTATTCTTGTTTCTCTTTCCAGTGAGTACACAGAGATGGTTAGAGATTAAGAAGATACCTGGAATGGTAGCTAGCTTTCTAAAAGCTCTCCGTAGTCATAACATGACATTCCCAGAGGCCCAGTACAGGGTCATGTTCATTAGGCACCAAATGGAAGAAAACGTCTTGACAAGGGGAGGGCCTACCTGGATTTGTCCAATAACAAACGGTCATTTTTGTTTTCGGTTTTCAAAACACTTAGCTATGGTGTGCCCTACTGATCATGACCTAGGAGATCTGCAGGTTAGTATTGACCAGCTAAACTTGCAAATTGCAAAAGCAACTGCTTTTGGTCAACTGAGTTGAGAGTGCATCTAAGACAATGATTCATTTTTTATAGCAGGGCAGTCTGTCAGTAGGCTGGTGGCCAAATGAGTGAATTTGGGATATTACTGTCCTTTGTCACACATTCCTGGTGTGTGATCTTTTGTTTTGTTTTGGTTCGGGGGAAACTTTCAACCCCGCTGGACAGCCCTGGGCTAGTTTCCGTAGGACGTGGGGCCCGATTTAGAAAGCGAGAGTAAAAAAACAGGACGCACATTTTCTCCCCAGAGAACGGGAGGTGTAAGAGAGGTCTGATGAGGTCATAGCTGCTGGTTGGTAGGTTGGATGGTAGGTTCACCGCCACTGTCTGTCTGACCAGAGTGGGACACAGGACTGAGAAAGTGAAACCATTTCCAGGAACGACATAACGTCACCCCAGAATTAAGTCACCTTAACTTGAACCCTTTATAGAAAGGGCTACATATCACTGACATAGTAATTATGTAACGGATGTCATAAATATATCTGTCTGCTGTACTGCTGGCAGCTTGCAAAGAGAACTAATCCAAGGTTTAATGCACTGTGTGCATGTCTGTCAGCCTTGATAATTAGCCTAAATTATCTTATAAAATTTTTGGCTACCGACTTTGGCACTCTATACAATGAATCATAATCTCAGATTTTGAGTAAACTCCCAGGTCAGGTCTACTGGTCTAGTGACTAAAGTTGAAAACTGATTAAGGACGTTGACATCAAAGGACGTTAGAAGAGGTCAGCAGTGAGAAGGAGGCTTATGTCCCAATAACCTGACCAACCTATGTGCAGTTGCAGTACATGACGATCAAAATGTAAATAAAATGACAGTGCTATTTTTTCTATTACCAAACAAACAGAGATGGCATGAACGATAGATAAAACCTTTTGGGGAAATTTGGCCTTTTCACATGGCAAGTTCTTAGCTCAGGACTATGCTTAATGAATATTCCAATTAAGTGACACAGGGAACCACGGAACTGATTAGCTAGCCTAGCCCTGACAATGTGGTGTTGTTAAGAGCTCTCAATTGTGTATTACTTACTCACTCAGAAGGTTGAATGTATATGACTTTGGTGTTACTTTTTCAAAAGATGGCTGCTATATCCATTCAGGTAAATCACAGCTACTTGAGGGGATAGGATCTTTTCCCAACTGACCTCCGAACATTTGCATATTTGGATGGAACCTGAACCTGCTTGAGAGCATCTCTGTTCCATATCTTGAAATTCCGTAACCCAGATTCCATCTGAATACGGGCTAAAAATAGCCTCCCGGAGAGTTTCTCTCTCTCTCGCTGTGCCTCTCTCTGCTGCTCCGATATGGAATGATAACAGAGCCAACCTGCCCCTTAGCGTGCAGAAAACACACACATGCATGCACACCAAACCAAACATGCGCACAGACATGTTACACTGTACACAGATGTATTTACTCTTCCCTTTGTTGCATCACAAACTTCCTCCCCCACACTCACAGGTACATGCATGCACACACACAACACACTTGAACTCAAACTCCTTATTCATAACTAAGGGATATGTATTGTATGAATGATCAATGAACATGCACTATGGTGCTCTGAGGCCAAGCCTTTCTCCTCTATCTCTTATCATTGGCCATTGGTCGTCCCAGATATGAAAGATCCCAATTGCTGTAAACGTGGCTGCCATTATCAGGCCATGAGACTGAGAAAGCAAGGTGGGGAAGGGTTTATGCGATGGACCGGCTGCAAAAATAGCACAGACTTTGGACTATTCCCACTTGAGTCTATATATGGCAACTCTCAATAAACAGAATATCATAAGAATGACACCTGCATTACAGAAGGAGAGTTTGGAGTTGTTGGTCAAGGAGAGAATAGGCTAATCCTAATCATTTCGGCCCTTATTTGGTTACAGACCCAAATAAGTAAAGTATGCTAGCAGTACCAAGGTAAAGTAGTAATATTTGTAAAACTTTGATACATACCCGCCAGGACAAATGTGTGCAGTGAAGGGTACATATGTTGGATCTTTAATTTAATTTATTAATTAATTTATTTTTATTTTTTGGGGGGGGTGGATCAGCTTAATATTGCAGATCGATTGTAACTTCTATCAATGTAATTGTCTGCATCACTTCCAATCCCCCATGTTTTTTATATATATATACTCCCCTTTATTACTTTTCAACCCCGCCATCCTTTCCCTACTTGGAGTAAATTAGTGAACAACAATGCCCAGGCCTCTACTTCCGGTCTATACTTACTATCTACACCTTATGGACACAGTTAATTTTACAATAATTCTATTATATATATTTATTTATTTTTGCTCCTGAACTTCTTCTACTCTCAACCTCTCCGATCATTTTCATGATGTCCATCCGGTTTGCTTCTATATGCCATATCTTTCTAACTGTGCTCTTTCCCAAAAGCTCCCAACATACAACCTATATACTTATTATGGACACAGTATGCTTACATTATTAGCTATCTTTGTTATTATTTGTTGTTATTTGTTATTAGTCCCATCCTTCAACTCTATTCAATACCTCCCATCTATCTCTTAACACCATCCATATAGGATTTCTATTTGCCATATATATTTCAACCTTACTGTGATGTTTTACAAAAGTTCTGAACCTTTCTATTCTCATTGCTTCTACAGATTGTGAATTAAAAATAAACATTTTTACTAAAAGTATTATTATATTATTGATCGATTGACTATGACTTTTCAGATCACCCAGTAATGCTATCTGCAAGGTTAGCTCCAGGTAAATATTTTAATCCTTTAGCCATTCCTGGACCTGTGTCCAAAAACAAGCTACAAATGGAGTTTACATTTCCTGCATTTTCAGCAACAAAAGAGTGATCAAATTAAGATCCTACACCTGTAGTGCCTAAATACATGATCATAGAGTTTTGCAGAGTGGTGGAATGGGGACAAGGCTATGTGTGTGTGTGTGTCTGTGAGAAAGACAGAGAGAGAGAGCGAGAGAGCGAGAGAGCGAGAGAGCGAGAGAATGTGTAACATAACAGTTAATGTCACTTACCCACTTAGGCTAAAATTGTTAGCTGTTCAAATAAAGGATTCAAATGAAGTGTTGTAAAAAATTCAGTCAGTTTTCCTAGAGGCTGCTTTTGCGGCCTTGGTCCCCCACCTGAAAGAACACGTGGGGGTGGAAATTGGCTTAGATGCACATAGGCAACCCAGAGATGTGTGAGTACCAACAGGTCACATGTACCATTTTCTAACTATTATGTGACACGAACCATACTATGCTGGCTCTGATATTTTATTTTCGCATTGCCCTTCTCACCACAGTTCGCATTGCCCTTCTAACCAGGCCAGTGCAGTGCAACTCTGTTTGGCTCAGCTCAGCTTGGCTCAGTAGTGTGGAAAGGGTAATGTAGTAGATGTGTGTTGGGCAAATGATGCCTGCCTGTGCTCCCAATGATGATAAGCCTCCAACAGGAATGCTGAAATACTGCAGGTTGGTCAAAGGTTATGGATGAAGATGCTGATTGTCTTTTATGTAATCATTCAAATAAATTGCCATTGGTAAGCCTACACTTTGATTGCCAAGGTAGTTTAGTTTCAAAAGGCAAACTGACTGAAATTCTAAATAGGACACCTCAGTGTGACTGTGAATAACACACAAACTAAGGATTACAATCAGTTTTGATGCTGTTCTGAGTCTGACATACAGCTGAAGTCGGAAGTTTACATACACTTAGGTTGGAGTCATTAAAACTTGTTTTTCAACCACTCCACAAATGTCTTGTTAAAAAACTATAGTTTTGGCAAGTCGGTTAGGACATCTACTTTGTGCATAACACAAGTAATTCTTCCAACAATTGTTTACAGACAGATTATTTCACTTATAATTAACTGTATCACAATTCCAGTGGGTCAGAAGTTTACATACATTAAGTTGACTGTGCCTTTAAAATTCCAGAAAATGATGTCATGGCTTTAGAAGCTTCTGATAGGCTAATTGACATCATTTGAGTCAATTGGAGGTGTACCTGTGGATGTATATCAAGGCCTACCTTCAAACTCAGTGCCACTTTGCTTGACATCATGGGAAAATCAAAAGAAATCAGCCAAGACCCCAGAAAAAAGGCTTAAGGACAACAAAGTCAAGGTATTGGAGTGGCCATCACAAAGCCCTGACCTCAATCCTATAGAAAATGTGTGGGCAGAACTGAAAAAGCGTGTGCAAGCAAGGAGGCCTACAAACCTGACTCAGTTACACCAGCTCTGTCAGGAGGAATGGGCCAAAATTCACCCAACTTATTGTGGGAAGCTTGTGGAAGGCTACCCGAAACATTTGACCCAATTTAAACAATTTAAAGGCAATGCTACCAAATACTAATTGAGTGTATGTAAACTTCTGACCCACAGGGAATCTGATGAAAGAAATAAAAGCTGAAATAAATCACTCTACTATTATTCTGACATTTCACATTCTTAAAATAAAGTGGTGATCCTAACTGACCTAAGACAGGGAATTTTTACTAGGATTAAATGTCAAGAATTGTGAAGAACTGAGTTTAAATGTATTTGGCTAAGGTGTATGTAAACTTCCGACTTCAACTGTATCACCATCCCTGACTGGGTGCTCTTATTTCACATTTTAGTCATTTAGCAGAAGCTCTTATCCAGAGTGACTTACAGTAGTGAGTGAATCAATTTTCATTTGTACTGGTCCCCCGTTGGAATCGAACCCACAACCCTGGCGTTGCAAGTGCCATGCTCTACCAACTGAGCCACACAAGACCTCCCGCAACGTTAAATTCCATATGCTAACACACGTCCTGATACCTATGGTTGCAAGGTGCCAGTCATATAAACCTAGCTGAAGTTATGTCTCCTTCCTTCGACTTCCATTCCGCATAAAAAGCAGAGGAATGGTGTCATATCTAGTGTGCTTATAGTCTCAGCAATAAAATACTATAGCTTACACTGTATAACAAAATGAACTATAATATATATATATATAAATCATTCAGCAGATGCTTTTATCCATGACTTACAGTCATGCGTGCATACATTTTACGTATGGGTGGTCCCAGGAATTAAACCCACTACCCTGGCATAACAAGCGCCATGCACTACCAACTGAGCTACAAATGACCATACCATTTGACTGGAGTCCACCTGTGGCTAATTCAATTGTATGGACATGATTTAGAAAGAAACACAACTGTCTATATAAGGTTCCACAGTTGACAGTGCATGTCAGAACAGAAACTATACCATGAAGTCCAAGGAACTGTCTGGTTTAGAGAATGCCAAGAGTGTGCAAAGCTGTCATCAAGGCAAAGGGTGGCTATTTGAAAAATCTCAAATATATTTTGATTTGTTTAACACTTTTTTGGTTACTACATGATTCCATATGTGTTATTTCATCGTTTTCATGTCTTCACTATTATTCTAAAATGTAGAAAATAGTAAAAATAAAGAAAAACCCTTGAATGAGTAGGTGTTCTGAAACTTTTGACGTTAGTGTTTATATTTTCTTTTTGTTGCCTCATGAGGTAACGTTGTGCATTTAGGCTACATTTCAGGGAAATATCATGCTCAATGAAATACAATTTGAAAGTATAATTTGATGTAGAATTATGGCCTTGATCAATGTTTTTGCCAACATATCCACTGACATTTACAGGCAATGGACACATTCTATGGTCGATAGGACCCTAATCGAGCAGTTAGGAGGCTCATATTATCTGATAGTGAGGACAGTGAGTTTGCGGACAGTGACAGCAAGGAAGAATGGGCCCCAGAATCAGATTTGAGAGGTATAGAAAATACTAGTTTATGCCCAACTTAATTTTTTTTTATTATTATTGATACATTATCAGAAAGCCTAAATCTAAAAAATTTAAATAGGATGGAATATTTCTTATTCCAAGAAAAAACTAAATGTGTGCAGTAGAGGGTTAATTACCCTGGCCGTTTATTTTAATAGCACGATTTGCCACAAGGTTGAGCAACCGGACATGTGGATAGTGGGATAGGCTATTCACTCCCATAGCCTACACCTAGCGTCTATAGCCTATTCAATTTAATGTATTTATTTTGATAAAGCTAGTGAATAGATTCAATCAGTTAGCCTACAGCCTATTCATGACCTGACATACATCTCATTGGTTTGTAGAAGGATAACATAGCCTAGTCTACATACCGCACCTGACCTAGGCAAGACATCCGAGAGAGTGGTAAAATGCAATGTCAAAAGCAGGAAACTGACATTATTTCGGGGGGAAGCGTGTTACACAAGAGCACTGGGCTGGTCAATGTATTAGCCCCAGCCATTTATCTCACACCTACCGAGTAAAAGCAGACGATGCGTCTGCTCGTATTCCCGTTTCTGCTCCTTCAGAGTTCGGTCAATATGTTTACTGACTTTCTTCGCCTGTTTTTTGACCTCCTTCTCCTCGGATAACTTTTTGTCCAAGGTTTTCTGTTTCTGTTTGCTGAGCTTCTTCTGCAGCAAATGTTGCCGCTGGCTGCGGTCAGCTCCCACGCCTTCCCCATTCTGTATGGGCACGCCTTCAGTCGTGTCCTCTCGACGGGCATCTCGTGCAGAGGGCTTGCCTTTGCCAGGGCCCCCGCGGCGACACCAACAACCATGGAGTGGTGTCATGTCATTATATGCCTCTGTATCCTCGTGGTCAAGGTCCTTGGAGCGTAACCGTACAGAGCAGTCCGCGGGTTTCTCGGTGTCACTGGGTTCGTCAAGACTAGGACGTAGGCTGTAGCACAGTCCCATTGTGGGGTTTGTTCCGTTAGTAAAACTGAAGGGTAAAATTCAGGTGAAAAGCGCAAAATTCCTCGAGAGATGGTAGGCCTACCTGCCCGCCTGTACTCATTGTGGCATTTCCCCTGTCCTGGGATGCGTGTTGAATTCAAACTGCAGAGGTGATCTAATCACGGTTCTGGACTTGCCACCATGTGAGCCATTTTGCATTTTGCCCCGTCTGTCAATGCCAGCCTGTAGTTGGTGGATCAACTGATTGTAGTAGTAGCCACCGCTGGTACACCTTCCCGTAAATAAATCTAAAGCACAACCAAAAAAATACACGAGTGAGTCTCGAATACTAATGCCAGAACACTCTCTAGGAGCGCCAGTAGAAAGCAGGGTGTGTGTGTGCATCCCACTCATGGTGTGAGGCGTCAGCGTTAAATGCGATACTGGTGTAGTCATGGGCTTTAACTATTCGTGTGCCAGGACAAAGTAAAAGCTCAGTTATTAAAATTGTTTTCAAATTCTCTCCTACAATAGCCTAACCTAAATATTTTGGTAACACTTTATCAAGAGATATAATGATTTATTACTCGTTATTTGTATGAGCCCATATGATCTTATTATACGCCTAATAATAGTCCTATATAATAAAACAGAATAGATACTTTACTGCCCATTTTTCAATGGAAATGTATAATTTTGCTGTCACAATACCCAACCACACACACATTGCAGGATAAATTGTAGTGCTCAAGTGCCTTGCTCAAGGGCACAACGGCAGTGATTGGTAGGCAATGTTGGATGAGAGTCCCGCCATCATCTCTCCGGTTGCTGGTTTAGTTTCCGTTTGTACCTGGCCCAAAGATAGAAATCTGAAAAAATATGTTATTTAACACATTATGAGATGATATTAACACATTATGGGGATCATACATGCTTATGACAAGTCTTAAAATGCACATAACAGCATCACAATGCATTATACATGTCAGCTTAAAGTAAAGTGTTACCAGAAAACTAAAATGGCACTTCTCACTACAAATATCAGTGTAGATTCCTGTGTAGATCTACACCATCCCTACAGCAGCGATGACCAAAGGTTGCAGCCCTGCACAGGCTGTTAGCCTTGAATGGTGATCTCAAAATTTATTGGGCAGTTCACCAATAAAGCCTATTTGATACCACAGCTCTGAAGTAGACTGTACAATGCAGGGGTAATAAAACATTGTGTCAGCACCAAATACTGATAGGTGTTGATTGCCTGACTTGTCGGTGAACTTTCCCCAAAGGAGAAATCCAGAATGTTCTGTCTACAGGTGCAGGATCTTAATTTGATCACACTTTTGTTGATGAGAATTTTCCTACACCTAAAGTAGCCTATACTTTTGGCCAGCTAATAGCCTAACCACCAATAGAGCAACATTATGGACTAAATATTCAAATCCTTTGCTGCAGGATTATTTTGCTGTGACAATATAGGGCAAGTTAAGATCCCACATATGTACTACCCTGACTTTTTACAGTGTGTGCAACTAGTTGTGTAATGCAGGGCAGGCTTTGTGTAGGTGGAGCTGGTCTTAAAGGTAGACTCTTGAACAGATAAGAAGAGCAACTTGGAGCCAAAGAGATTGGTATTGCCTGGAAGAGGTGCGACACCCACAGCTCTGAGAATACATTAAGTTCTACTCAGTCGGTCTGTGTAGCAATGGGGAAAGTATACTGCCTCTACCTCACAGTCCAACCAAGGTGTATGAACTGAAGAATAAACTGAATGTTCAAAAAATGGAAGTTAAATATAAAGTCCTTCTTTATTAACTTAAAAAACATTTTGGTATTAAAGCCTTCATCGGGGTGCTTGATCTCTTTGGATATGTAATTTAAACACTCAAAAAATAAGTGAGAGGGTGACACCAATGCATATTCCACATAAGACCATACATTTATTGGGGGTGTTTTATAAGACTATGATGATATCATATCACTATATTGAGTTACTTCATAAAGAATAATCATCTGAGTCCATGGGGCCATCAATAACAATACAGTGCCTTCAGAAAGTATTCATACAATTTGACTTTTTCCACATTTGTTGTGTTACAGCTTGAATTTAAAATTGATTAAATTGAGATTGTTTTGTCACTGGCCTACTACACACAATATTCCATAATGTTCAAGTGGAAATATGTTTTTCAAAAATTTTACAAATTCATTACAAATGAAAAACCAAAATGTCTTGAGTCAATAAATATTCTACCCCTTTGTTATTGCAAGTATAAATACGTTCAGGAGTAAACATTTTCTTAACAAGTCACTTAATAAATTGCATGGACTCACTCTGTGTGCAATAAGAGTGTTTAGCGTTATTTTTTAATGACTGCCTTATCTCTATACCCCACACATATAATTATCTGTAAGGTCCCTCAGTCGAGCTGTGAATTTCAAACACAGATTCAACCACAAAGACCAGGGAGGTTTTCCCTTGCAAAGAAGGGCACCTATTGGTAGATGGGTAAAAAAAAAACATTGAATATCCCTTTGAGCGTAACAACATTTGGAATAAGTCAAGGGGTATGAATACCTTCTGAAGGCACTGTAGCTTCCTTATCGAAACAGTTCCATGACTAGACAGTATTCAGTCCTGTTGATTGGTAACCATAACTCATATCTTGGAAAAGGAACACGGTTGTTTGGATGGGCCAGTGCAGTGCAGAGAGCAAGATGTACAAAGGTCATAAAGGGATTCCCATGGAATGGCTATTCTGTGTCTGTGGTGAGGACATCACAGATGCATGCTCTAAAACGATACATTGTTGTCATTTTGTGGAGACATTTTGTAAATGCAAGCCTGGTTTCTGCAAGTCAAGGCAGACTTCTTCTTGTTCAAATGAAAACAAAGCGTAAGCAACAAATTGAATGCAATGGAGGACAATAACTGTCAAAAGAAAATGTAAACCAATGTAAACAAATGTTAATTATTCAGGTGAGTTTACATTAGCCTGGGTGCCAGTCTGTTTCTGCTCTCTTGCCAACTCAAATAAAATTGTATTTGTCACATGCTTCGTAAACAACAGGTGTAGACTAACAGTGAAATGCTTACTTGGGGGCCCTTTCCAGCAATGCAGAGAGAAATAATAGAAAAATAATAACACCTAATAATAAAAGTAATAATAAATAAAATAAAATAAAATAAAATAAAATCACATTTTATTGGCCACATGCGCCGAATACAACAGGTGCAGACATTACAGTGAAATGCTTACTTACAGCCCTTAACCAACAGTGCATTTATTTTAAATAAAAAAGTAAAATAAAACAACAACAAAAAAGTGTTGAGAAAAAAGAGCAGAAGTAAAATAAAATAACAGTAGGGAGGCTATATATACAGGGGGGTACCGGTGCAGAGTCAATGTGCGGGGGCACCGGCTAGTTGAGGTAGTTGAAGTAATATGTACATGTGGGTAGAGTTAAAGTGACTATGCATAAATAATTAACAGAGTAGCAGCAGCGTAAAAAGATGGGGTGGGGGGGCAGTGCAAATAGTCCGGGTAGCCATGATTAGCTGTTCAGGAGTCTTATGGCTTGGGGGTAGAAGCTATTGAGAAGTCTTTTGGACCTAGACTTGGCACTCCGGTACCGCTTGCCGTGCGGTAGCAGAGAGAACAGTCTATGACTAGGGTGGCTGGAGTCTTTGACAATTTTGAGGGCCTTCCTCTGACACCGCTTGGTATAGAGGTCCTGGATGGCAGGAAGCTTGTCCCCAGTGATGTACTGGGCCGTACGCACTACCCTCTGTAGTGCCTTGCGGTCGGAGGCCAAGCAGTTGCCATACCAGGCGGTGATGCAACCAGTCAGGATGCTCTCGATGGTGCAGCTGTATAATTTTTTGAGGATCTGAGGACCCATGCCGAATCTTTTCAGTCTCCTGAGGGGGAATAGGCTTTGTCATGCCCTCTTCACGACTGTCTTGGTGTGTTTGGACCATGATAGTTCATTGGTGATGTGGACACCAAGGAACTTGAAGCTCTCAACCTGTTCCACTACAGCCCCGTCGATGAGAATGGGGGCGTGCTCAGTCCTCTTTTTTTTCCTGTAGTCCACAATAATCTCCTTTGTCTTTGTCACGTTGAGGGAGAGGTTGTTATCCTGGCACCACACGGCCAGGTCTCTGACCTCCTCCCTATAGGCTGTCTCATCGTTGTCGGTGATCAGGCCTACCACTGTTGTGTCGTCGGCAAACTTAATGATGGTGTTGGAGTCGTGCCTGGCCATGCAGTCATGGGTGAACAGGGAGTACAGGAGGGGACTAAGCACGCACCCCTGAGGGACCCCCGTGTTGAGGATTAGCGTGGCAGATGTGTTGTTACCTACCCTTACCACCTGGGGGCGGCCCGTCAGGAAGTCCAGGATCCAGTTGCAGAGGGAGGTGTTTAGTCCCAGGGTCCTTAGCTTAGTGATGAGCTTTGAGGGCACTATGGTGTTGAATGCTGAGCTGTAGTCAATGAATAGCATTCTCACGTAGGTGTTCCTCTTTTCCAGGTGGGAAAGGGCAGTGTGGAGTGCAATAGAGATTGCATCATCTGTGGATCTGTTGGAGCGGTATGCAAATTGGAGTGGGTTTCTGGGATAATGGTGTTGATGTGAGCCATGACCAGCCTTTCAAAGCACTTCATGGCTACCAGACGAGCTAAACCACTTCTATGCTCGCTTCGAGGCAAGCAACACTGAAGCATGCATGAGAGCACCAGCTGTTCGGTTTTGTACACTGTCAACTGGTAACCACCATAAGACCTTCAGCTGCATATCCACAGGGTTGGCAGCATCACCAATGCTACAGATCATAAACTACCCCCAGATCATACAGATCATTATGATCAGCTCACACACAATTCAGCCCAGCCTGCACTGCAGCATTTACAGGTGTATGATCTTAGTTTGACCTATATTGTCACAGAAAAATAATCCTACAGCAACAGCATTTTAACGTTTAGTCCATAATGTTGCTTGATCGGTGGTTAGGCTGTTAG